TGTAAGCAATACATTTTGTTTTCTTTATAAATCACCCAGTTCCAGATATTTTGTTATAAGCAACAGAAATGGACTAATACAGAAAATTGGTACCAGAGAAGTGGGGTGTTGTTTATAACAGATACTTGAAAATGTGGAAGTGGCTTTGGAACTGGGTAATGGGCAAAGGCTGGAATAATTGGAAGGGATAGGCTAGAAAAAGTCTAGATGCTGGCAAAAGCTTAGAAGACAAGAAAACCAGGGAAAGTTTGGAATGTTTTAGAGACTGGTTAATTGGTGGTGAGCAGAATGCTGATAGAAATATGGACAGTAAAGGGCATTCTGAGAAGGTCTCAGATGTAAGTGAGAAGGGACTTTCTGGAAACTGGCACAAAGCTCACCCTTGCTGTGAACTGGCAAGCAACTTGGCTGCATTTGTCCATGTCCTACGACTTTGTGGAAGCTGGCACTTAAGAGTTGCGAACCAGAGTACTTGGCAGAAGAAATTTCTAAGCAGCAAAACATGCAGGAAGCTGCATGGCTACTTGTAACAGCCTACACTGAGTCGTGGCAGCAAAGGCATGACATAAAGCCAGAATTTAAAAGGGAAGCAGAGCATAAAGATTTAAAAAACTTGCAGCCTAGCCAGGTGGTAGAGAAGCAGAGAACATTTTCAGAAGAAAAATCCAATGGTGCTAAAAGGATTAGTACAAAGGAAAGGGATTATCAGGAGAAGGAAGGATAAATGTCATCTAAGGACTTTACTTCCTCGTCTGGGAAAGGGATTAATGTGTTTTTGGTTGTATGCAGGGTAGTTGTATCATGCTAGGTGAAACTATTATGTTATTGTACGATTTGAAGATTAGAATGATTTAAGGAGCTAGTATGGACACCAAGTTGAAAAAGGGTGGACTTGTGATGGGTAATTCTAGGTGTCAACTTGATTAGATCAAGGAATGCTGAGAAACCTAGCAAAGCTATCTTTTTAGGTGTGCCCATGAGGGTGTTTCGAGCAGAGATTAACATGAAAGGCTGAGTGGATTGGGTGGGAGGGACCCACCCTCAGTGTGGGCAGGAACCATCCATCACTGGGGGCCTAGACAGAAGAAAAGACAGAGAAAAAGGTGAAGCTCTCTCTATCTCTGAAGAAAATCCATTGCCATGTCAAGAACACATTCAAGCAGCCCTATGGAGATACCCTCATAGCAATTAACTGAGGCCACCTGCAATAGCTGGCACTAACTTGCTGGGTGTGTGAGTGAGCTGCCTTGGAAGGAGACCCTCCAAATTGAGTCAAACCTTCAGATGACCAACAGCAGGTGACATCTTGACTGCAACCTTATGGAAGACCTGAACCATAACTGTTTAGTCAAACTGATCCTGGATTTCTGAACCACAGAAACTGTTTGAGATAATAAGAGTTTATTGATTAAAGTACCTCTGTTTTGAGTTAATTTGTTACTTAGAAATAGATAACCAATAATGGCAGCAGAATAAGGGAAAACATGGGCTGACAGGTTGACAAATCTAAAATGTGTCTTGATGACATCTTAAAGCTGAGATCTCTTGGACAGGTTATTTTAAGTTTCTTGTGTCTCAGTGTTGTCATCAGTAAATTGAGGATAATAAATCTTACCTCACAGAGGTCTGAAGAATAAATGAGATAAAAGAATTTAAAGGACCTGGAAAGTGGCTTTCTTCAGTAATTATATGTTTTTTTTTTTCTTTTCTTTAAGTTGTGCTTAATTTTAGAGGGTTTTTTTTTAAAGATTTTCAAGCTGATTATTCTCAGCACACAGAAATCGACTATACAAGTTGCTGAAGAACTGCCGGCAAAGACAGGGCTAGGGATGTTTAGGAGCTGGCTCTGTTTTTTGTTTGTGTTTATTTGTTTATATTTATCTGAATGAAAATCTGGTTTTGAAGATCTTGATTTAAGAGAGGTAGGTATTTATAAACATTTTCTTAAATTTTCTTAAATAGAAGTAAAGAAACTGTGTAAGTTATTTCTGAATATTTATGTAAGCCCAGGTACAAAAAAAAATCTCTAGGAAACAAAACTTCTCCAGATCTGGCAAAAACTCTGCTCCACTGTGACAGGGTCTCTGACAGCTTCATGCTCTCAGTTTGAGACCTCAGAGGTCAAGAAGACAACTCTGAAGCATGCTGTATCTGTTTCTGCTGTGTGTCCACCTTGGCTCCATTTTTCTGTGTCCTTGATTAAATAAACTGGGAAATTATAAGTTAGAGTTTCTACATGCAGTCTCTTACTTTGTAACTCCATAAACAACCTGAAATGCCTTTACCCTTGATATTTAACATCAACATTTCAGATTATTTTTGATAGACTCTGAAAGGCCATGACCTACACTTGGTGCCATAATATAGGGGTTAAATCCATGGACTGTGCATGAAGATTTGCGAGACTTCCTAGTTTAAATCCCACCCCTGCCACTAACTGTTTGAACTTGTGCAAATTACTTAAAAACACTCTGTGCTCTGGTTTCCCCAAGCAAAAGGTAAGTATGATAGTAGCACCTATCCTTTAGGTTTACTATGAGAATAAAATGGGTTACTATTTGTTAGCAACTTACAACATTACCTGTAAAATAGCAGGTGCTCATTAAATAGATAGTTTTCACTTCAATGAGGTATATATTTGAATGGCCTGGGCCTCGACGATAGATCCACTTAGTGAGTATAACAAGCATTCAGCAACCAGAATCCTTCTCTCTACTACTGCTTGCATGTACTCAACTTTGCTTTACTATAGTTTTGAGAGGAAATTATTTTCTTCCAGTGACATTTGAGAATTTGGATATTTTCTCAAATATAACCCTAAAAAATGATTAATGTATACTTCACGCAACTGAAAATATGTTTGCTTCTCACAAGTGCATTTGATTTTCACAGCTGCTAGATTTTCCTTTCCCTAGTTGTGTGAGTGTGTTGGGGAGGACATTGATTGGGGAAAATCAATCTACCTTTTGCTTTTTAACAAGTTTTTCTAAATTCCTTTGAAAATCTAATAAAAGCTGTAGTTTCTCTTCCCGGTAGGAAGTAAAATCACTGAAGTTATAATTATGGGCACCAATTGGCTCTTTGCTATATTTGCTATAGGCCAACAAAGTGGACAGAGGATTATTGTAGTCTGTTTTTGACGATGGTTGCTGAATTTAGAAAAGGAAAAGACAGAGGGAGGAAAAAAAATCCAGGACATTGCAAAGTACTGGAAACAAAATGGTCTTTAACAAAGGAGCTCCCACTTGGACTATGAGGAATGCTTCTGATTGCTAGCTTTTAAAAAATTAATAACATAAATTAAAAAGTGACCTTGAAAGATACATAAAATAGTTTAAGTCAGTGTTATTTAAACTGTGTTTTGTTGTGAATCAGGGAGTTGGGGGATTCCTGCAAGGACTTCCTAATTGAGGGGAGATTCTGAGAAGTAAAATTGAGGCTCCACTCACCCAACATCTGCCAGAGAAAGCTGTGTTCATAGCTATTTTTTCTTGGGCTTCCAAATAAGATTATATTTGAACAAAGGGTTTTGTAACTTGCAAAGGATTAAGAACCATTCTTCTGGATGTTTGTTTATATGAATAACCACAAATCGAAAACTTCTCATCTTGGGTTATTAAAATCTGAAAGAGGTTAAGTTGGCAGATGTACAATCTTGTAGAGTGGAATGAGGGTGACTACAGACCAGTTTATCTAATTCTTGGTATACAAAAATATGGGGACTTTGATGAAATCACAAAGAGGCAGATTTAGAATTAGTAATTAGCACATATTATAGTAAAAAGAGTTAAAAATTGAACACTGCAGATTACTGAAGAGATTGTATATAAAATAGCTGTGAAAAATGTTAGGCAAAACCACAGTCATTTATTAAGTATAAATGAGATGGTTATGGGGATAGACTTTATTATTAAGTCTGATGTTTAAAAGGGAGACTGTCTTCCACAAATAATCTTTCGATTCCAGTTTCAGGAACAAAGTACCGGCTTATATCATATCCATTCTTATCCCTTGTGGCAATATCTAAGTTCTTGTGCATTTCTCTGGTTTTCTGTTCAGACATCTAGCTGCAATTCATTATGAGCCATGACATGAGTGAGTAAACCCCATATGTATATGTTGAAGAGTATGGAACTGCCAATATTTGGCTTTTTTGACTTGAGAATAGCAGTTTCATATGGCTCAACTTAACATTTTCTTGAATATGTCCCTCTCTAGTTTTGAAGCAAAATATACATGGTATATATAATACCCTCCCCTCTAAAGTGTGTCTTCCAGTTACCCCACAGGGGTCCCAGGCTTCTTCAATGGCTTGATAAGAGCAGTTGAAGAGGTCTGAAAGAGCCTACTGTTAAAAGTAAAGAGAAAATTGTCAAGTCCTGTCTTCCCTTGTTCAACAGCCCTTGCCAAGGCTTCTGGGGCTTCTCAAAGGGGAAATCACACAGAGCTGAAGTTAGAGTAGCCCTAAAATCCCCCTGGCTAGTCCTTTACCCATGTATTTTATCTCCTCTACAGCCTCTTCAGTGATAGAATATCTAAAACATGGTATCCCATAAAACAAGATGTTAAACTATCTTGTGGGAGAGTAAGGCAGGTGAAAGCCTTATCAAGGAGGCCAGGCAGAGACAGCAGCTCCTACTGCTTTTGAAGTGCTCTTATGAAGGCTGTGCCCAAGTTCCTTAAGAGCTGGTTTACTTCCTAAGTAAACATGGTTGCCAGCAAGAGCAATGGCGTCCTGGCTCAGAGGCAAAGAAATGAAATGCATCAGCGATGGGGGATTTGCAGGCATTTCTGAGATCATATAAACCAAAGTGGACATTTCTTCTAGATGCTATTAGCTACTCATCCCTCCCATGTGGGCCCCTTCAGTTTGCCTGCTCAAGAGGAGGCAGCTGAGAATCATTCAAGCCAGTTAAAGAAATTGCTTAAAGTAAGTATCTGCAGTGCAAACACATTAGCTCAGAGTGCTCAAAACACAGTAATAATCACAAAGTCCTTACTTCTTCTCTCCTTTGTACCATTCGAAGGCCGGAGGCGGCACACCTGCACCTTCACATCTTATCAATCCACTGCGTCCCGGGGTCACAGTGCCAGATTTAATTTCCTGGATCGTAGGAGCAACTGAAAAAGAGGCAAACAAGCAAAAAAATACCTGGTGGGTAAGTAAAAATAATCTTTTGCAGAAGTATAACACACCTATATTTTTATTCTTTCTATATTCAAAGCAATCTTATGCCTGATAGGCCAATGCATTACATTTTCAGTGTTTTATGCTTCAAATACAAGACTAGTCATTTTCAGCTTCATTTTTCAAGTTGGACAATAGATGAATGTTCCCAGGGAGTGCAGAGTAAATGCAATACATTTTGGCCTTGCTTCCTATTGGAAAAATGGCATTGGTGAGGGAAACACTTCATCTGTACTCCAGTCAAACTACACTCCAATAATAGTTCTCATTTATTGAATGATCACTGGGAGTCAGTCACTGGGAAAGGTGCTTTATGTTCATGGTTTCTTCTCAGTAATACTCTAAGCTAGATGGTATTATCTCAATTTTATAAATGTGAAAACTGAAGTTCGGAGAGGTTAAATAATTTATCTAAGATAACAAATTTACTTAGTTGCAGAATTCGGATTTGAATTTGGGCATATTGGCTCAAAGCCTGGGCTTTTTCAGTATTCTGTGTTTTCCTTGTGCTTTAGCAATTCAGTGATTTTGTTATGTGGTTTCTTCTACCTGGATACTGTTCTCCTCCATTTCCAGATTCAAGGCCCATTTTGGGTGTCACTGTCTCCATATTCTTCCCTATTGCTTTAACTAGAAAGAGCTTTCACTTCTCTAATTAGTTTATCTAAATCTCTCATACCATGTACTTTCTACCTTGCATTTTAATTATTTGTGGGGCTAGAAATAACTTTCACTTCTCTGATTAGTTTATCTAAATCTCTCATACCATGTACTTTCTACCTTGCATTTTAATTATTTGTGGGCATGCTAGGCTGCCTTGTCAGCTTCCCGAAGGCAGGGTAAATATCTGATTCATCTTTGCATATTCTGAGATCAAAGCACAGCACCTAACACAGAGTGATGCTTAGAAAGCTTCTTTTGTAGCATAGCCATTCCTTTATTCATCATATGGTTATTGAGCCACCAATATGTGCCAGGCATTTCTCACAGAAATAGCAGCAAGCTTAGAGGAATCAGAGCAAGGGATAGATTGCAATTTTACATAGGGTAATCAGAGTGGGCCTCATTGACATGGTAGACTTGTGCAAAGACTAGATATAGATGAGTGTTAGTTCTGTGGATATCTGAAGAAAGAGCCTTCTAGGGAGAGGGAGCAGCTTGCAGTAAAGCCCTGAGGCAAAAGCAAGCCTGGATTGTTTGAGAAATGGCATGGCCATCCAGTGTGGCTGAAGCACAGAGAAAGAAAGGAGAGTAGCAGGAGACAGGGCCAAAGAGGAGTGAAGGACAAAACACTGGGTAGGACCTTGAGGGACATTTTAAAAATTGAACTTTTATTCTCAGTAAAATGGTGAGCCACTGCAGAGGAGGGATATAATCTGACCTGTGTTTTAAAAATATCACCCTGGCTGCTGTGTTGAGAAAAGACCATAGAGAGGCCAGGATAAAATTCAAGAGACTAGGTAGGAAACTGTTGCAGTAAACAAGGCAAGCGACAAAGGTGCTCACACCATGGTGGTAGCAGTGGAAGTGTGGAAAGTGATTGGGTTTAGGGTCTGTCGTGAAGTTGGAGCCAATAGGATTTCTTGATAGACTGAAGTGAGATGGAAAAAAAAGAAAGAAAAAGAGGAATCAAGGGTGACTATTTGGCTTAAGTAACTGGAAGGTTAGAACCAACATTAACTGAGGTGGGGAAGACTGTAAGTAGAAGAATTGTGGAGGAAAACATTAGGAGTTATATGCATGTATCTTTTCATAAATATTTCCTTTTTCTTCCAAGTTTTTAACATAGTACATGTTATAGTTTAAATAACACTATAAGAAATAATTCAATACTACTGGAAACTTGAGGATGCAAATACTAGTTAACTCAGAAATATTACTTGAGTAAGTGTGTACTATGGATATAGTAGTTTCTTTGGAAAGCAATGAAAAAGTATAGGGTTTAATGTTTTTTCGATATGCAGTGAAAATGAAAACAATAAACACTCTTACAAGCAAGCATTGTCTTTCCATTTAAAAATACCCTAGTAAATTCATCATTTTCTATTAAGAATGATACTTCATTTTGAAATTATAGCACCTCTATCTCTCTGTGGTGTTTTTATTTTTAATAAAGTTCAATTTACAGTTCTAGAAAAAAAATTGCAAAGAAGTATTTTTGTTAAAGTACTTGCTAATAACTTGGTGCGAAAGAAATGTTTACCAAAAATGAAAGAATGTTTACCAAAAATGTTTGAATGAGAAAATGTTATGAGCTAGTACACACACACACACACACACACACACACACACACACAGTTATATGTGTATATACACACACACACACACAATGTAAGAAATCATTTAATAATTTTTAACTTTTTTGTTAAGCAAAGATTGTTATATGTGTATATACATACACACACACACAATGTAAGAAATCATTTAATAATTTTTAACTTTTTTGTTAAGCAAAGATTCATGTTTTTCTGTAAAAGGCAATACAATATACAAAAGACACCTATAAATAAAACTCGACTTATTTGTCAGTTATTATGACACTGCTTTGCTGGTGAGAGGTACAGGTAAAATTGTATTTTCACTATTGTTCTTTCAGGCTTTCATCTCTCTCTGCCTGTCACGTTAACAGGCTATAATCTTTTATGATATCCAACTATTATTGAAGATGAAATAACCATATGCAACAGGAGATCTGTCACAAGCTCCTATTGATAACCTGGTTAGTTTAATTACTCTCTCGTTTGTCAAAGGGGCCATGACACATTACAAACAAAAGCATGAAATCCAGTACACTACCTGAAAATCCAGGCATAATGAACCAAAATAAAAATCTAATTCGTCATTAAAAGGGTTTCCTGTAGTACACTGTGCATACAGCTCAACATGAGGTGCTTTACCACACAAGTTAAAGGAACATGATCCTGTAGTGCAGGGGTTCATGGGCTGCTATGATGAACACCACAAATGGAAAGGTATCTAATATGCCATATGGAAGCATGGATAAAGAGTGAGTCAAAAATTAATGATATTATGCATAAGAAAGAGTCCTAAGGCACATTTGGTGAGGTAGAGAGCTAAGGTCTATGGGATGTGGGGTAATCAATGTGGAGAGGGGATTCTCATGCAGATTTCACTTTGTGTGGCTAAAATTATAAACTTGAACCTAAAGGCTTTATTGGTTTTTTATGGAGACATAAAAATTCATGTTACTTATTTATATTTCTGTGCATCTTTTGGAAATAATTGTTCAAGAGGAAGAGGAATCATCCACTTATTTATTCTTCATTCCTTCATTGATTCAACAAGTATTTGCATCAGGGACCACATTAATATGGTATGATACAAACTAAGACAGAAATAAAACAGGATAAAAGAAAAAGGAATAGCAAAGCTTGTTATTTTATATGATGAAGTCACATAACTCCTTCCTGATAAGATAATATTTGAGCAGAGAATTACATACTGTAAGAAAAAAGTCATGTGGCTATTTCTACGAAATTATTATAAGAGGAAACAGGAAAGGTAAAGGCCCTGAGTAGAGAGTATGCTTGAGGTGGGAACATGTTTAACAGGTTTAAGTTTAACATGCTGTTCAAGAAACAGTTAAATGGTCAGTATAGCTTGAGTAGAATAAGTGAGAAGACTCCAGAAGTGAAGGTGGGGCAGGGGGCTGTGGCCCAGATTTTGTAGGATCTGTTAGCCCATGGTAAAGGCTTTGGATTTTATTCTAAGAGGATGTGGTTTTGGAGATTATGAACAGAGCAGTGACATGATTTGATTAAAATTCTATAAAGGTTCTTTGGCTGCTGCATGGAACATGTTCTGCAGAGAGGCAGGAGAGGAAACAGGCAGAACAGCTAGGAGGCTGTCGCAGTAATCCTTAGGATGATGAGAGAGTCATTGGCAAATCCATAGAAAAGGCAGGAATTGAGAAAGAATGTAATTAAAAAGATCACTGGTCACATTGGAACTGACTCAACTCATTTTAGTTAACTGGCAATGACTGGGCATTTTTAGTGAAATTCCAAGTTTACACCATTCTGAACTCTATTACTTTGTGTAAATAAAAGGATTCTATGGCCACGGAAATGTCTGACTATGGCCAGCATTTTTCTTTTGTTGGGGCTCAGAACACAATATACCAAAGTGAAGACCTCAGAAGCAGCCTCAGAAGCAAAGTCCCTCTTTGACCTTCTCCCACCCTCCTTCGTCTTGCTCACCTTTCCTCCCCAAGGCAAGCCACAGAAACTAGAATTTCTCTTTCTCAAGGTGGGCCATAGAAACAAGAGCCCCTTTTCCCCAAAACCAGCTATAAAATTTAAAAATATTATTCCCACCTCCCCCCACCTTTCTGTGTAAAAGCTAGTCATAAAGAAATTCTCTGACCTCCTTTGTTTGATAGTAGGTCATAAGACCGCTATCTCAGAAAGGGTTCTGGCCCATAACTGGAAGGAAGAAATGATTCACAGAGAAGCCAGGAAGAATCTGAAGGGACAGGCCTTGCTGAATTTCCCAACTCAGTCTATTCCCATTAGATCATACCCTTTTTGTTCAATATTTCTACATGGCTGTCCATTCTTCATCAAGCCTAAGTATAAAAATCAATAGTTTTCCCTATATCTGTGGGTCCTCATTGTGAAATCTCCCATGTCACGTAAAACTATGATTAAATAAATTTGTCATGCTTTTTCTGTTTTTAACTTGTCTTTTGTTATAGGAGTGTCAGCCTGGACCCTTATAATGAGGAGGAAAGGGATCACCCCCTCTCTGCCCACACACTTTTCTACAGTACTCCTCAGAGACTGTGATGTCCCTGTATGTGCTATGATTCTCTTATTGGACAGAGCTTTTTCCAAACTTTTGTGACTGTAGAATTCCAGAAGGTTTTATTTGAGCTATTTATGGGCCTGATATTTCTTGGGAATTATTTTGCATATGTTAGACTGTTAGACTAGTGGATCTTTAAGGTCCATTCCACATCTCAGGTTATGTTGTTCATGACTTTTATGATGAACGATCATCCCTGGTTCATCAGGATTACAAGTGCTCATGAGCTATAATGTACTCCCAAATTTCATGTAAGGAAAAGGTCTCAATTATTTGCACCGTAAGGATATGATCATTTATTTTTCTTGGAACAGATGTATCTGATAACAATTATAACTAATTAAATCTCCAACTGGAGCTGTAACAGTGAAGATTATAAGTATGTTTGGCCAAGTTATATATCACACTCATTTCCCACTAAAATGTTCCATGTTTTAAGAAATCATACTGGGCCCTTTCTTGGAAAGATGATCAAATGATAAAACCTAAGTGTGTGTTCTCAGAACCTATTTCTTTTACCACCAAACTCCCTCCATTGCTCTAGATTTTGGCCCTGCACCAGCAGTGTAAGCTGTTTTTTCCAGAGTAGAAGTGTAAATGTATACATCTTCATGCATATATGTTTTTGGGACTGTTTTTCTTTCCATGGATAAAGTTTCTTGTTTTGCTCAGGTGTAATCCTTCAATAACAACAAAGTCACAAGGAAGGTGAGTGCTTAACTCCCTCAGACTTACAAGTACAATGGCATCATTTGGAATAGACAGTTTATGTGCACTGCTGAA